CTACTCGTGACATTTATGTCATAGCGTTTTCGGCCCCGGCTGAATACAACATCTCAGCCAAAGAAGAGTACAAAAGACAAATATATCAGGATGTCCTGTTTGAAATTGGCAAACTTTACCCAGGTTACTGTGTCAAGCTTGTCGTCCTGATTGTTGGTGTCCTTGGAGGGATGAAACAGTCTTTTGTATCCTCACTTGCCAGAGTTCCAGCTTGCTTATCAAAAGCTGAGTTCTTGGCAGTCAGGATGCAGAAGGCTGTGCTACTAGGTTCCCTCCGTCTACTTAGAGAAATGACTTTGGCCTGCTGTGATCACTAACCACCTTGTTGTGTGGAGTGGTCCAGCAGTAATGGATGGAGCTCAGGCTGGGCCCTCGGAGAGTCGGACTCCGGGGACAACCCCCCTGAGCATTTAATAACATAATAATAATAATAATAATAATAATAATAATAATAATAATAATAATAATAATAATAATAATAGTAAATTTTTTTCTTGTATTGGTCAATCTTGGTTTAAGCAAATATTCCCTAGTTCCAACAGGCTTACCAACTTAAGTGAAGAAAAAAACCTCTTTATCCAAGTAAATCATTCTCTTGATTTTTGAACTTGCTTGATGTACACACGGGCACATCGAGGCCCGAGCAGGAGAGCAGCCGCGCGGAAACCCATTTTCAACATTAAATAAAAATTATTGTTTATGGAGCTAGAGTTCCGGGAGTCGAGAATTTTTTCAGAAATTTCCTCCTCTTTAAGGATCTTTTTTCTGATTGTCGATATCACTTATAGTTATTGAGTTATTAACGCAAAAAATTTCTAACTTTGTACTTTGTATGAGTCGAGCAAATACTTGTATCTACATATATTTTTGTCACTACACACTTAACTGTAAAGCAGTAATATAATGGGAAATCAGCATGTTAAAAATTAATCAAAAATGTCTAATTAAATGAACACAAAAAATAAAAATCATGCATAAGGTTTGTTTTGACTCGCGATTAGTTTAATATCGCGAGTATGTTTACGGTTATGTATAAAATTAATAATTATATTTTATACCAAATAATTAATTGAGTTTGTATGTGAATTAAATATTTAATTCACAAGGTATGTGAGCAATCTTACAATCAGATTGCGCCAAGTAAAAACCAATGAGGTTTAATTTAACTTTAATTTATTTAAAGTACAAAAATGCGACTGTGCGCTACAAGGTATTTGAGAATAACTAACTTAGAGAGAATACAAAAATTGTTACAAGAATAGTAAGAACTAGGCGTTACAATTACAAGCAGGAAAAATTAAGAGTAGGAATATTTGGCAACGAATAGTTAACCAGGAAATAATTTGGAGGCAGGATAATTGCAAGCTATGCAGTTTGGAAAAATAAGTAGGAAAGGGAATACGGATGCGAAGGTTTTTACCTGGATGGGCGATAGATTTACAAAATATTTCTAAACTTAGTTAGCAATTAAAAGATTAAAAATACAAAATTTATCAAAAGTAAAAACCCAGAGTAATATAACCCAGGTATCAAATTTACGACCATAAGCAGATTAAAAACTATTTAAGAAAATATCCCAAAAATTAGCATTAAAAATTCATTTTCTATTCTAAAGCTAGAAAATAACTGAAATATATAAAAGACAAAAAAAAACTGTCTAGACTGCTATTGCAATATATAGGCTGGGAAATTTTCACTCATAAATAAAGTTGAACAAATGAATGAACCTTTTTGTAGATAACATAAAATACTTAAAAATACGGGTTTGAATTTAAAATAAAATATATTATTTAACAATTTAAATAATAAATTTCGACTAAACAATAAAAAATAAAGTTATTTAATTAATTTAAATTTTTCTAATAAAACTAATCGTACGACGGAATATGCCGCCCCCCTTGAACCATCTAGTTCAAGTAGATTGGTTGAAGTCGTCATCCTCTTCATCGATGGGAAGTAGACAAAGCTTCTTGACGCAACGGTCGTATGTGCCCGTTTTTGTCCTAAGGGTGACCACTCTGACGATGCCATCCGTTCCAGGACGAACAGCGGTGATGCGCCCGAGGACCCATTGTAAAGGAGACAAATTTTCTTCGAAGATAAGTACCAAGGTTCCAACCTTGATATTAACTGATTTGCGCGGAGATCCAATGAATTTAATCAGTTGATGAAGATATTCCTTGTGCCACCGTATCCAAAAATGCTGCTTGAGCTGTTGAGCATGTTGCCAAGCAGATAGACGATATATTGGTGTATCTGTAAAATCAACCTGTGGAAAAGAGGTCAACGGACTACCTATGAGGAAGTGAGCTGGAGTTAAGGGAAGAAGGTCATTAGGATCGGATGGCATAAGAGAAATTGGCCTTGAATTTAGTATAGCTTCTATCTCAATGATATATGTTTTTAATTGCTCAAAAGTAAGTAAGGTATCACTCATGGTTCTAATTAGATGATGCTTAAATGATTTCACCGCGGCTTCCCAGATTCCACTAAAGTGTGGAACTCTAGGTGGGATAAAGTGCCAATCAATCTTTTCTGCGTTACAAAATTCAGTTATTATATTTTGATGCGCTTTCGAATTAAATAAATCATAGAGCTCATTTAGCTCGTTTTTAGCTCCGACAAAATTAGTAGCGTTATCGGAGTGAATTTCTATTGCTTTTCCTCGTCTTGAAAAAAGTCGCTTGAGGCTGGCTAAAAATGCTTCAGTAGTAAGGTCACTGACAAGTTCCAAATGAACAGCCTTTGTGCACATGCAAATGTATACCGCCACATAAACCTTTACGCGGCCACGATTACGATGACGTTTTTTTTTTTTTATAAAAGGGTCCACAATAATCAACTCTTACGCGTAAGAAAGGACGAGAAGATGTGACCCGCTGAGTGGGAAGAGTTCCCATCAAGTGATTAGCAAGACGCGGTTTTACGCGAAAACAAGGTATGCATTTACGAATCAAGCTACGTGTTTCGTCGAGCAGTAAAAATAATTTGTTAATTTTTAAACATATTTTATTTATAAGAACATTTGTTAACTAAAACTTTTATTATTAGAAAAACTTTAGCATTAGAAAATAATTTTAGGCCGTTTATGGTCATAAGCCTATTTTCTTTTCTTTAAGATATTGAATATTCTTTTAAATAGTTTTCTCTTTAGAATTTGCTGTACCTCATTTAAAGGTAAACCTTTCAGCCTAAAATTTTAAATACTATCGTAAATTAAGGGACTGAGTATCCTTGAGTTTATTTTTTATTATCTTTTTATTGCATCTGACGACGAATATTTTTTCTAATCTGTGAGGAAATTTTTCTGTCAACCATGTGCATAACAGCTGTTCTCTAACTTACTCTCTCTACCTTCAAATTATTTCTTTACGCCTACAATTTTCAACTACCAATAATTTTGCACAAATAACGTTACCACACCTATCGACCCTTCATTTCCTCAAATTGTAACCTCTGACTATATCCCTTCGAACAAAATTCTTCAGTCAGTCATCTACTCACAAGACAACTATATCGTCTATCTATCAACTATCTATCTATCGACAATACATCAACTATTTATGTGGAATGGTCATTTTTAGATTTAAGTTTCTCTATTTTATTGTTTTATTGCACCTTTGTACTTAGCAGTAAGTATTTTTTCGAAAAGGTTGTAAATAAAGGGATTAAGAAAAATTCCCAAATAACAGATGTTTAGTTAAGATAGTTTAGAAAATATTCGTATGCGTGGGAACGTAAGTATAGATTTGTCTCGTAGCAAAAATGTACATTATAAGTACCGAGAGTGTAAGAACGAAGTATGACTGATGCGGGGGTGAGAAACCCAGGTAGTAAGTAAAGATCTAATTGTATGGGACTCAAGCAGGCAGTTCCTACTTAACTTCGATGTACGACAGACCTCTGTCTTTTAACTCTGTCAATTTTTCTAATAAATACTCACTTTAAATTAACCGCCCCGTGATACCTTAATAATAACATCTTTAATAAACATTTAGTATCCTATCCAATAAAATCCGATACTACATTTATCTATCGACAATTTATCAATTATCTATTAATCAGTAATTAGTCTAAAAATATTAACAAAAGTGTGTAATTTTACATTATTAATTAGCATTTTTCAATAAATCGTTAAGAGTGAAAATTACTCCTGTGTCTTCAAAATCAACAATTCAATTGAAATATCCTTACTCCAGTAAATTGTAGTTAGGAAATAAACACTACGCGTGACGCTGCGTCCATTTAACGGCCAATAATTCTGGCGAACTGAGTATAGCGTTGCTTGCATACCTGCATGTTTAAGTCGAAAATGTTCGGCTTTGATAATTAATTTAGTCACGTGATGCTGAGCAGGTAATAAGATTGGGTGACGTTGTTCTTCAGCACTAGAAGAGTGAGCAAGTCTACCTCCAACACGTAAAATGTCGTCTTCGTTTATGATCGGATTTAATGGAATTAATTTGCTACATGAAGGAAGTGATTCCCCAGCTTTGATTGATTCTATTTCTTTTTTAAAGCAACTGAATTGGACTGACCGTATAATCAAATTATGAGATATTGCTAATTCTGTACTAAGTAGTGGACCAAATTTACGCTCACTACTGGGTTTTTTAACATTGTGAATAAGAGGTTTTAAATCAGGAATATCTATAGGAGTAAGAACTCCTTTCGGCCATGCTGAGCTCTCCTGAGTCAACCATAAAGGTCCATCAATCCAAATGGAACTTTCAACAAAATCTGACGGAAGCTGTCTTCGAGATATAAGATCTGCAGGATTATCTTGTGATAAAACGTGCTGCCAATGACAAGACTCAGTGATAGTTTGAATTTCTGACACGCGATTCGATACGAAAGTTTTTAGGCGATGAGCTGGCGTATTTATCCAATGTAAAACAATCGTAGAATCTGACCAAAGATATGATTCATGAATGTTTGTCAAAATAGTTGGCTTTACAGTGTGATAAAGACGAGCAAGTAGTACTGCAGCGCAGAGCTTTAATCTTGGTAACGTTAATGGTTTGACAAGAGCCACTCGTGACTTAAAAGAAATAAGGCGTATATATATATATATATGTGGAATGGTCATTTTTAGGTTCAAGTTTTTTCTATTTTATTGTTTTATTGCACCTTTGTACTTAGCAGCAAGTATTTTTTCGAAAAGGTTGTAAATAAAGGGATTAAGAAAAATTCCCAAATAACAGATGTTTAGTTGTAGACGTTTAGTTGTAGAAGATATTTTAGAAAATATTTGTATGCGTGGGAACGTAAGTATAGATTTGTCTCGTGGCAAAAATGTATGTTACAAGTACCGATAGTTTAAGCTAAAAGTATGACCGATGCGAGGGTGAGAAACCCAGGTAGCAAGTAAAGATCTAATTGTATGGGACTCAAGCAGGCAGTTCCTACTTAACTTCGATGTACGACAGACCTCTGTCCTTTAACTCTGTCAATTTTTTCTAATAAATACTCACTTTAAATTAACCGCCCCGTGATACCTTAATAATAACAACTTAATAAACATTTAGTATCCTATCCTATAAAATCCGATACTACATATACTTGACCCTGACAATTAACTGATCGCAAGTACGAACAGGCGCCATAAGCCTTTTCACTGGCGTCGCAAAAACCATGTAATTGTACTTCAACAGAATCAGTTATGGTAATTCCACGAGGAAAACGTAAATTTTCGATTAATGGTAGGTGGTCCAAATAAGCGGACCAAGACGAATGAATCTCAACAGGAATGGATTCATCCCACACTACCCTAGCTTTCCACTGGAGCTGCATGATAATTTTTGCATGCATGATGCTTGGACCTAGGAGACCAAGAGGATCAAACAATTTTGCAATTTGAGATAGAACAGTCCTTTTTGTAATGGACTTAGATACCAAAAGATTTACTGAGTAAAAGAAATAATCTTCACGGGAGAATTCCATCGAATGCCTAGTGTTTTTATAGATGAATCAGGATCTAACGACATATGTGCGCTATCAGGATGCTCTTGATCCTCAATAATCAGAGATGGATGATTCACAACCCATTTTCTTAAACAAAATCCACCCTTTTTTAATGAGGATATAAGTTGATCACGTAGAATAATTGCTTCAGAAATTGTTTGTGCATCTGTGAGCACATCATCCACATAAAAATCTCTACGTAATATTTGAGCTGCAATCGGTAAATTCTCCTCCTCATCATCAGCAAGTTTGTATAGTGTTTTGATAGTGGTGACCCCTAGTTCAAATAATAATTCGCGTATTTTAAATTTCGACTACGGGTTGTTGATCGACCTCAAGCGCGGGAAGTTGTTAGACACAACCACCAAGTTGTACTTAGAAGGAGAGATTGTTCAGTGCTAAGATCCAGGAATCAGGATCATTTTCGGCTCGTCTGAATATCACAAACTATTCGAAGTGTTCCCGTCGATCACACATCCAAGCGGAACTCCAGAAGTACATCAGACACAGCATCATATTGAGACAACTCCAGGACCACCGGTGGCGCTGAAGCCAAGAAGATTAGCCCCCGACAAGCTCAAAGCAGCCAAGAAGGAGTTTGAAGTCATGCTACGCCTGGGACTCGCACGACCATCGAAGAGTCCTTGGGCTGCACCGCTGCACATGGTTCCCAAAAAGGGCGACGAATGGCGTTCATGCGGGGATTACAGAGGTCTCATCACCCGGACCAAGGTGGACAAGTATGCGGTTTGACATATCCACGATTTTTCGTGTATGCTGCATGGTAAGAAAGTTTTCTCCAGAGTTGATCTTGTGCGGGCGTTTAACCAAATTCCAGTTGCACCGGAGGATATTCAAAAGACAGCTATCACAACACCGTTCGGCCTGTACGAGTTTCCATTCATGACTTTTGGACTACGGAACGCAGCGCAAACGTTCCAGCGCTTCATGGATGAAGTACTTCGTGGGTTGGATTTTTGCTATGCTTAAAAACGTTTCAACGCAACGGAGTAAGATTCACCTAAGTCAGCCTTTCTATCGTTAAATGGTAAACGTATTTCATACCTTCCATCAGTATTTCTCGTTGTATTAAGAGCATAATGCTCCTCACAGGCCTTTTCTTCAGGAGATAAAATTGTACTCGATGAAAGCTCTTCAATTTCCCAAAAACGTGTTAAGCTTACATCTGGAGGATCCGAATGGATCGAGATATGACAAGATACAAGCGAAGTTTGAGAATGCGCACCAATTTCACCAGCAACGACCCAACCTAGCTGAGTTTTTTGAAGAATTGCATTTGGGTGATTTTTCAATGATATTTGTCCTACAACGAGCAACTTGTAAAACAATTTAACACCAATTAAAGCATCCACCTTCGAAGATTTGAAGAAGTCGGGATCGGCTAATTTAATATTTTTAGGTATGTCGAGGCTAGATTGATTAATCGTGATCGAAGGCATTGCTCGACTAATTTGAGGAACAATTAAAAAATCAACAGATTTCCTGTAATTATTGCATCGAGATTGCAAAGTAGCTCGAGCAGAATGCTTAACACTAGTTGAAGTATTATCTATCCCAGTAACATAAATATTAGCTGGTTTCTTAATTAAATTCAAAAAGTTTGCAACATCTTCAGTTATAAAATGTGCTTGAGAGCTTGCATTTAAAAATACACGAATAGTTTTGCTCTTGCCTTGATGATTCACCATGTCAACTAGAGCAGTAGCAAGTAAAACATGTGACCTTATTTGAGCTTGCAAGATAGTACTATTTGCGACAAAATAAGAAGAAACTTGAGGTTTTACCAATTGGTTGGAAGAATTATTTGCTCTTTCAAAATGTAAAAGAGTGTGATGCTTCTGTTTACAATTTCGACATGGCTGAGAGGTACATTTAGATGCTCTATGTCCTTTTCTTAGACAGTTAGTGCACCATCCACCATTTCTAGATGCCTCATAACGAGCGTGAGGATCTAACGCTGCAAATTGGGTACAACTATAAACTAAATGAGTATTTTCACCACAAAATACACAAGATTGCTCGTGAGTGGTAGTAGCAAAGGTTCGTTGCGAGCGAGTATTGGATCGATTGTTATTATTGGGCTTTTCGGATGCGGGTTTCGAATTTTGAAGTCGAACTCTTTCTACCTGAGCACGTCTTTTTAGAAAATCTATTAAATTATTTACGGTAGGACGAGCTATGCCGCTACTGCAATCTTCCCATCGCTCGCGAGCGGAGGAGTTAAGTTTTTCCCGTAATATTACGATTAATATGGAGTCCCATGAACCTATGGGTTCTCCTAACGCCTGAAGAGCGCGTAAGTGTTTTAGGACGCGATCTAAAAATGCGCGAAACGAATACTCTTTCGATATGGATGGCATATCTATGAGAGATTTAATATGACAATCACGTATATATTTCCGGTCGTCATATCTTTCTTTTAAAAGATCCCAAGCTACGGTGTAATTTTCGTCTGAGGATTCGATAGTTGAAATTATATCGGCTGCTTCACCTTTTAAGCACCCTTTTAAATAAAATAATTTTTTTACAGGAGGAATTTTTAAATCCTTATGAACAAGAGAATTGAATAAATCATGGAAGCCTAACCAAGTATCATAAGCTCCACTGAATGTTGGCAATTGAATTGTCGGCAAAGATGATGAGTGAAAGTTATCAAATGCATTTTGAGATAATTGAGATAATAGAAGTTGCTGATTGACAGCATCTAAATTTTGTAAACTTCCGAAGTGAGACGGTGCATCATTATTGTTGGAGTTTTGTTGCTCTTGCTGTTGTAAATTATTTGATTCCGCGCTCAACATCGGAGTATCTACTTGTTCAGTTATGTACTTTAGTTTTTATAAGTTAAGAGAAAATTGTAATGCATTTTTAAGTTTACTCATGTTTTCTAAAATATTTCGACAGACTTTCACAAAGACGTTATAAAACTTAAAATTCGGAAATTTATGAGTCAAACTCAAGTAGTTGCCATTGTCAGATAATCCCTTTAATGACTTAGACTAACCTTCAACGCAAACGGATAAATTTTACAATCCATCTGTTCATCAGATGGCGACCAGACTTTTCCCAATTTAGCAATTTTCTCACACTTAGTTTAAACAACCTTTCTTTAAATAAATTATACCCTTTCCAGAATCCCTTCAGTTAACAACAATTCCCCAACTCCAGTTACTTTCCACCAATCAAAAACGAAAATACCCTTCCCAAAATTGCACTCTCTGACTACGATAGTTGGACGAAAAATCGAATAAGACAGTTACCCAAAAACCTTTGACCACGCTCGCCGAGCGCCTTTGTTACTGACAAACCTCTGACCACGCTCGCCGAGCGTCTTATACCTGACCTTTACCGACTTACGTACCGATAAATTTAATGTAAAAAGTATAGTCAGTACTCAATAAAAGAAATCAATCATCACAAAATTCTTGTTAAATTATAACCGAATTAATTTGCAAGAAAACA